CACACACACACACACACACACACACACACACACACTCCTTCCTATCCTGTGTGACTGGCTAGAGGGCACTGGAATAGCTACCAGCTTTTGTCATTTTAGTGGGAAGCCCAAAAAGAAAAGGAAGTCCTCAGGCAACCCGCTATCTTACCACTGGTTCGAGACAGCTGGTAGCCAACCTGCGGGTCAGCATTCAGGACTGGGTGTCTGTCTGTGCAGAAAGTTCTGGGTAGGCCTGGATCCACAGCAGCTGGGACTCAGGGTGTTTTCCCTAGGAGTTCAGACCGATGCCTCACTGTCCCCGGGCCGACAGCGTGAAACTGGGGTGGAACCAAACTTGTCAAGTGATTATCAGTGTAATCACCAGAAGAGGGAGCAGAACAGGTCAAAGGCGGTGTGTCTGTTGCCTAGCAACCAAACCTCTTGAAGAACACACTAGGAAATAATGGTGTCCGGCTCATAGCTGGTGGCCTCAGGACTCCACTTTGAATGTGTGACACTTAACACTTGCTGCAGTGCTGGCGGGAGTAATGCAGTCTCCTGTATCAGGCTCTTGAGAGGGCTTACCTTTGCCTCATCCGATTGTTCTAACCCAGGACTTAGACCCTTAGTGGTGCTCACTGTGGTTAACCATTTCCGTATACCCATATTTTGCAAATTCAGATGTTCTGATTTAGCTGCATCGACTGTCACTGAACCAGTCCTCTGAAGCCCATTTTCCTGTGGCTGAAGTTTCAGAGAGGAAAGAACTATGGGCCCTGCACTGGCTCCCCGGGCCCTGGCTCATCACATAGCTGGTACTCCTAACTGGTAGTCTTGGGCATGGGTGTGGCCCCTGAACTTGAAGGATCGGGTATACAAATAGAGGAGCCTGCTGTTACCATGGCACAGTGTAGCGTGGAGAAACTGGGCAGAGCAGTCTGATCCTTGGAGCTGAGCAGTGAGGGACTGGAGACTGGGAGTCAGGGTTATCTCTGGGGAATAGTGTTACGCTGTGTGTGTGTGTGTGTGTGTACACACTCTGTGTGTTGGCCTGGTAGCTTATATCTGCATCTGCTTTGAGTGCCCACGTGTGAAACTGCACCTCGAGGGCTTGTTCTGCATTTGCTGCACTTCCCCGCCCTCTTGTTCACCTTGCCTGCAAGGGATGTAGCAGCTGGAGGAGAGGAGGGAAGGAGGGAGGGGATTTGCCTGAAGGCTCGCCTCCCCCATCCATTGTCACCCCACCCCTGGACTCATTGTCCCCAGCACACAGACGCATCCTGTTGGCACGATCTGGGAGCCGATAGGCATTCCGCCATTCCAGCTTTCCGCTTTGAGAAACGGGGTCGGCGCTGGACAAGGGCCTGAATAGGGGCTGCAGTTGCCCATCAGATTATCTCACTTGAGTGGTTCGAGGGGGCCCCACCCAGGCCCAGAGACAGAGGAATACAGGCCTGGAGGCGGGCCAAGGAGCCAATAGACAGGAAGGGAGCATTGTCATGGTCATGTGGGTTCCGTTCCCACCGCCCCCAAACAGTTCCTGTTGACCCCTGCAGAGTCTTGAAATTGGCATCAGTGGCCAGTCAGAAAAGGAGGACGTACGGCCCGTCGACCAGTAGCACAGGACTGACACCTATTCCGGGCAGATGCCTTGAGTTCCAGCCTCACTTCCTCCCTCCCCACCCTCTCCAAGCTCTGCTGTCTTTGGGGACCAACGCCCTTTAAACATTCTCTCTATCAGGAGGACGATGAGGCTTTCTGCTCCTGTAAAGAGTGACGGTCTCAGAATCCCACAGGGGCAGTTCTGCCTGGTCCCACAGGGTTGCTGAGTCAGCGTCAGCTCCTTGGCAGTGAGCTTGGTTTTGGGTTATTTAGGAAAAACTCGCTGTTCTCAAGCCAGTGCCCACTCAGAGCTACCCCCTAAGACACAGTGAACGGCCCCTGTGGGGATTCCGTGGTTGTGAAGCTAGGGGAGCAGAAAGCCTCATCTTTCTCCCTTAGAGCAGCTAGTGGGTTAGAACTGCTGACCTGGTGTTAGCAGCTGAATGCGTCCTCCCCCACCTCCGGACTGTTTGTCTAGGAGTGGAAGTGGGCTCATCCTCAAAACAGGATCTTTGTGAAAAAGAACGGGGGGAATGCTGGTCCTAGAGGGGGAAAGACTTATTGGCAGTTTAGTTATCTTCAAATAGCCAATGAAATCCTCTATGCCAAGAGATGTCATGTGCTTTAGAATGCCGCACACTCGTTTTTTTAAGGTCTGTGATGATTGAGCTGTCATTGCTATTCTGGGATTTTCATGTGGTTGGGGGACCTTAGGAGACCAGACCAGGGTAAGTGTAAGCTCTGGTTGGACTTGGCCTTGGCATAGGGGCATCAGAGCTCTTTGAGGGCTGGTTGGTTTGCCTTGCGTAGCATTAAGCGGCTAGAGGATGCTTCTCAGGCACGTGTGGGAGGGACTTCGGTCCAAAGTGAGTGAGGCTCGGCGGATTGACCACCAGGGGGCACTGGAGAACGCCAAGTGGGATGTTTGGCTTGACCTGATTCCAGGTCTAGAAGGACTCACTAGCACTCTCTACCGGGGGCTGCAAGTGGCCCCAGTAGACAGGGTCTCTCAGGTGAAGTCCTCCCAGAGATGGGATCATAGCATCTTGAATCTGATGGAGATGTCTTATGCCAACCTGGTTCTCCAGTCCCGCCTGGCGTTCTTTTCTTTAGACAGGATTTAACCTCCTCTGGGAGGTCCCTCCTGATGTTCCACCTAGCCCTTGTCCAGACAGTTCTGGCCTGTTGGCTCAAACCCTCACATGGAAGGTGAGAAAAGATGGGCACCCGTTGTCCTGGCGGCCACTCTCACCCACGGGGACCCCCATGAGGGTCCGAGTGGAAGGATGCTCCACAGGCCTTCCAGGAGACCCGGCCCTGGGCGCTTTTCCAGAAGCAGTGCTGTCCTTACCCTCTTTGTTCTCAGAGCGTTGCCCTGGGTCACCTGCCTGTCCCTGAGTCTCATGGGCCCCCAGCCCGGCCTCCCCCACTGAGGCAGCCCCCTCCCTGCTGCAGGTATGTGCATTACTTCAGCGGCCTCCTCTCCGGCGCCATCAAAATGAACAACAAGCCCTTGTTCCTGCACCACGTGATCATGCATGGCATCCCCAACTTTGAATCCAAAGGAGGTACCTGGCCCAGCCGTGCCCCTCCCCCCCATGTTCCCTCCCTTCTGCCTTTTCCTGCTCCTTCTCTTCAAAGGCAGCCTTGACTGGTAAAAAGCCTCCGAGCCACCAGTCCTAAGCTTGGATTGGTGTCTCAGCGACTCCCAAGACTTCTTTGAGTCCCAGTCTATTCGGCTGCAAAGTGGGTGTGATACTTGCTACTGGCTGACCCTCTTGGGAGGTGGCAGTGTTCTCTAACCTTGAACTGGGAGAGGAGCCCAGCTATGGGGATAAGCTGGACACCAGGGCCATCTGTCACGAGCCACACGTCGGAGGTTGGCATCGATCCCCCTTTCTCTCCTCTTTGTCTCCTTCCTGCTGCCCTTCGTCCTCTTCCTGCCTCGCCTTTCCCTGTTCTTTGCTTCCCATCCTCTTCCCACCTGCTGTTTCCCCTTCTCAGTTAACACCCGCCCTCCCTTGCAGGATGCCGGCCCTTTCTCCGGATCTACCAAGCCATGCAACCTGTTTACACGTCGGGCATCTAGTAGGTATTCCGAGGGAATGAGGCCAAGGGTGCACACAGCCGCAGGCTGACTGATGGCCCGTGGGGATGGTTGAACCTAGGAGTCGGCACCAGCTGAACTCTTCTTCTAGACAGAGTTTGAAGGGATGAAGTCAGCAAGGATTCTCGGGGGAGAACTGTGCCCCCACCTACCCAGTGACCTCTCTCCCTCCCCAGCAATGTCCAAGGAGACGGCCAGACCAGCATCTGCATCACCATCGAGCCCGGGCTGCTCTTGAAAGGAGACATCCTGGTGAGTGTGCCCTCTGTGTCCGACCCTGCTCGCATGTCTTTATTGTCTCCTGGCCTTTTCCTCTTTTGCCCCATCGGCCTCCGTTTCCCTTTCCAGACAGCTTGCTGGGGTCCCAGCCCTGGAAGTTGTAGGCTCTCAGGGCTCCCTCCAGGCCTTCTAGCCTCGAATGCCCCCCTCCCCGACTGCCCCTGTCCATCCCTGCCCCTGAGTTGGACACCCCTTCTTCTGGGTTTCTCTCTTGTTTTGGAGCATCTCCAAGGATGACCTTTCGGGGTGAGCTGGTTACCCCCTGACAAGGACTGCTCATTTCCATGTCGGGCCTTTTGGATGCAGTTAAAATCCATCCGTCCTCTCATCCTGGAGAAGCCTGTGTGCAGCAGCTTCTCGGGAGGGCAGGCCAAGACTGACCTACAGCTCTCTGCTGTTCTAGACATTTGCCCAGAGAGCTTTGGGGTCCTGTTTGGTGTTGGTGACCTGCTCTTCACTGGGCTGGGGGTGAGCATGGGGGTGGGGGTGGGGGTGCCCAATCAGGAGATTTGAAAAAGGTAACCCTCAGATCTGACTTCCTGCTGCCAGCCCCCTGATGCCCTCTCCCCCTCTCCCCACCCAGCTGAAGTGCTACCACAAGAAGTTCCGGAGCCCGGCCCGGGATGTCATCTTCCGAGTACAGTTTCACACCTGCGCCATCCACGACCTGGGCATTGTCTTCGGGAAGGAGGACCTTGACGACGCCTTCAAAGGTGGGCCCTGTGGGCGGGGCCAGTGGCGGGGAAGACGAGCCCAGCGGGAGGGCATGTGCTGGATGCAGGCATGGTCTTTAGGGAGACACCTGGCCTGCTAACCCCAGGGTGTTCTTGGTGATGACGGGAGGGCGTGTTGGACACGGGGAATGGGCTGGGCTGTGAGCTGTCAGCAGGAGTGGAGGGAATGCGGGACGGTGCTCTCAGTCTTGCTTCCAATCCTGAAACTCCCTGCTTGCTAGTGGGTTCGTACTCCTGTGACCCTTGAGGAGGGAGTAGACCTGCCCCAGACTGTAGATCTGTGCAGGAGGAGGCCGCCTCCTCTTTCTCCTGCAGAGTGGCTAGTGGCTTCAAACTGCCCACCTTGTGGTAGCAGCCCAGGGTAGCCCATGGCCCCCTGAGCTCCGCTCCAGTCCCTAGGCCCTTGATGCCTCACATCCTTAAGTCCTACGTCCCCGTGTGCCCTTCATCTCGGCAGTCTGCTTCTCAAAGGTCGTAGGCATCTAAAACCTCATGGCACAGCACTGCTCCGACACACGTGGTCACCCTGAGGTGGGAATTGACTTGACCACCCAGTGGATTGCTGGTGGCAGTGAGGGGAGAATCATGTTCCAAGGGGGGACACGGTGTGTTTTTGCTTCTTTCCTCCACTTGAAGTTTTAGCTGTATCACATCCAGGCCCAGGTGTATTTCCATCCATCCTTCCTTCCTTCTGTCCACCCATCCAACTGCCTACGCACCCATCCGTTCTCCAGCCAGCCACCCAGCCATTCATCTAACAATGCCTGTGTGTGTCTGGTGTGTGCCTGGCCCTGGACATAGCGAGACATGATGTTAGGCCCTGCCTTCTGGGAACTCACAATCTCATGGGAGGGAGTGACACACTGTTCTGATTCTACGAAGTGGTGATTGTGTGAATGGGACCTGTAGGGATCACAAGGGGCTCCAAGAAGGGCCAATGTTCATCCTTGGCTAAATCCTCTTCCCCGTAGAGTGGACGGTGCCCCCTGGGCAGAGAGGGCTCAGATGGAGAGCAGAGAACAGAGCTGGGGGCTTGGAGGAGGCGCTGGATCTGCCCAGGGTCTGACTCACGCACAAGGTGCCAGCCTCTGGAGATAGGAGAGGAACCCCAGGAATGCTGTGATCATTACAGAGCCAAAGGTCAATGCGAAGCATCTTAGCAAGGACAAATGAAGGTAGAGCTCACTGCCATCAAGTCTGTTTTGACGCATGGCGACCCTCTAGGACAGGCCAGAACTGCTCCTATGGATTTCCGAGCCTGTCACTCTTTACAGGAGTAGAAAGCCTCCTCTTTCTCCCCAAACTCAACTCCCCACTGTTGAGTCGATGCATACTCATTGCATCCCAATAGTGATTACACATTGGGGTGTAGTCCCCACGGTCAGAAGTTCCAAACCACCAGCTGCTCTGGAGCTCGGGAAAGAGACCGGGCTTTCTCCTCTCATCGAGTCCCAGGCTGGGCAATGCACAGGGGCGCCCTGCCCGGTCTGTCCTGCCCTGAAGGCTCCCCATGGCCAACATGGACTCCTGGCCGTGAGTGTGGATGCAGGGAGAGTTGACACTTGATAGGTGGGGCTGGAGCAGGTCTGAGGAAGGACCGGGAACAAGTGTCCTCCCTTCACCTGGCGAGAGTCTTAGAGACAACGGGCGGATGAACAACAGCAACAACGACAAATAGAAGCTTCACTGTAGTATGTAAAGTCCCCATGGTAATCGAGGGGAGCATGGATTCATCATGGAAACCGTCGTCATGCAGCTCACCGGTTTTAACGCCAGAGGTGGGAATAGTGCAGTGGTAAATCAGTAGAGACTATTGAACACTAATATTTCAAGAAATAATGGTGTAGAGCACTTAATTAGCCACCGGTAGAACAACACGTAGGCACGGCTAGAAGTGGTGATCTCCGACAAGGAGGATTGTCGCCAGGATGGGCAGAATATGTGATCATAATAGTATGAATAATAATGATAGCTGTCATATGAGATTATCAACCATGTATACGTCTATCGGGCCCTGGGATGCCATAAACCGTGTGCACGCTTCTAAGAAACTAAAGGGTAGTGGTTCAAACCCACGTGGGAGTGCCATTGATGAAAGCTCTGGCGATCTGTCCTCATAAAGATAATCGCCACCAAAGTGCCGTGGGCAGCTCTGCTTCGTAGGAAACACGAAGGGCTTGCCCTGCACTGGGATGGACTCAATGGTAAATGAATCCAGTGTGGTTATCCATGCGGTCCTTTAATTTCTTTTTCTGTTTTTTTCTGGAAGAAAACTTCATGTGGAGTCTTATTTGTGAACAGTTTACCCATTTTTGATTTTTTTCTTCTTTTTCAGATGACCGCTTTCCGGAATATGGCAAAGTGGAGTTCGTATTTTCTTATGGGCCAGAGAAAATTCAAGGTAGAAGCCAAATGAAAATCTGTTGCCCCATCTTTTCCCTTCTGCTGTGAACTACCTCTGTTCTGATCCTGAACCATCCAAACAGGCTGGTTGCCCCAACACTTAGCGAGGTAGATGTGTTCGAGTTGCAGACTAGCCGGACATGATCTGTGCATCCGAGTGGACCCCCCAGCCAAACAAGACCCAGTGACTTGAATCTCTGATGTAACAATTCAAAAGCAGACAGAGAAGCGCTGGGCGGATGAAGTGTTTGGTCCCATTAGGTCATCATTGTATGCTGTTTGGAGATCCAGGGTCCCGGGGGAGGGAGGGAGTGGCAGGGGCAAGGCTACAGGTGCTGGGTGGATGATGCCTGTTTATGAGACCTGAGGTGATTCAACCTGAAGACGAGAAGGATGATTTAATCATCGTCTTTAAGCTTCTGGACTGTTAGCTGTGGCGAGCAGTCATTCCCCATCTTATCTGAGAACAGATCTGGAAGAGCTAGAGTTCGCCTATAGCGGAGGGACCGGCACTCACCCTGGAAGGCCTGGCCTGTTAGTTAGTGCTGTCTTCATTCCTGCGAAGCTCAGGGGGGACTCCCCCTCTCCCCTCAGATTTCTGACTAGAGTGGAGGACGTCTTACATGAGGGCCAGGGAGTTTGTTGGCCAGGGTGACCTCCCAGAGACCCCATGTCCTCTCTAGATCAAGCCTGGGGCTGGCCTTGCTGTCTCTGACATCATGCAAACCTTCCCACATGCCCTGCCCTTGACTCAAGATGCAGACCTGCCAGACCTCTCGCCACTGCCCTGGTGGGCCCAGGGCCTGTTGAGAAAGAGGCCGCTGTCCAGCCTGAGAGTCTTCCCAGCTCTCTCCTGGGTCTCCGTTCCTCAGTGCCCTGTCCTGATTCACCCCTGTGACCTGGTGTGAGCCTTTTCACGAAGGCAAGAAACCAGACCGCTGGATTCTCCTTCCAACCTGAGCCACTGGTCCCTCCCCCGCCATGCTCACGAAAACCGAGAAGTCCCTGAGGAGCATCCTGGGAGAGAGAGCTGCTTGGCTCCCTCTGTCCTTCCAGCTGCGGAGCTCATTCTCCATCTCCTCCCTGTTAGTCTGGGTGGACTGGAGAAACAGATTCATAGACACTCCTGTGTATAAGAAAGAACTTTATGTCAAAACACAATTGTATATTCAGAAAACAACCCAGCCAAGTGCAGATCAAGTACGTAAGTCCGATATTAGCCCATATGTCCGATACCAATTTGGAAATTCCTCTTCAGACTCACGCAACACATACAATGACGCTGAATGCAGGATGATCACAGGCCAGTTGGTAGACGGTCTTGTGGATCCAGTGGTGGTGGAAGCATCTCAGCACTGACCTGGGTCTCCCCGTGGCTCCTCCAGCTCCAAGGTTCTGGCTGCCATCAGCATGGCTCCCTGGGGCTTGTCAGCAGGCATGTCGCTTGAGGAGACAAGCAGGGAGAGTCTGTGTAGTTCTGGCCTCCAGTGAGCTATTGATCTCTGTAGCACCTCCAAAATGAGGTCATCAAGCTGCAACCTGATTGACAGGCTAAACTCCACCCCTCACCCTAAATAGTCTCACGTTGACAGCAGATATGTAACTACCACACTCCCTGACTGCTCCCCTCCCTGCTTCCCCCTCAGGCATGGAGCACCTGGAGAACGGGCCGAGTGTGTCTGTGGACTACAACACTGCCGACCCCCTCATTCGCTGGGACTCCTACGATAACTTCGGTGGGCACCGAGAGGATGGCGTGGAGGGTAGGTGGGGACCAATGGCTTCCAGCTCCTGCTCTCAGGGACCACCTCCATTCTCTCCACTGGCTGCCGCATCACCCTGGTCAGAGGAGGGCAGAAGTTGGGGGTGGCCCAGAGAGGGGGTGAAGCAGAGTAGAAGTCCAGTCACCTCTGGGTGCTCACAGCTCAGTGGGGACAGTTAAGACCAAATGCACTGACGTCTTAAAGAATGTGGACACAGCCAACCAGCCCAAAGGTGGTATCATGGGGGTGCAGTGGTGGGGGCTGGATGAGTCACATAGCCGAGGTGTTCGGAGGTGGAAATGGTCAGGTGGGAGTGAGGGGAGGGGAGGTTCCAGAGAGCCAGCACATCCCCGAGGGTTCCAGGAAGCAGGTGGCCCTGAGTGACCTTTGCTGCACTGTCCAGGCTACGTTCAGACCTGCAGTTGGGGTTCTCAGGCCCAGGGCCTGAATCCTCTGGAGCCAGAGCATGAGGAAGGGCAGGCACAGCAGCCCAAGGAGATGTCTGAGTGCTGAGAACAAATGGACAGAGCCCCCAGCTTGCAAAGAAAACCACAGGGGTGATGGGCATGGGCATTTAATTGCGCTCCGAAAACCTGACAGCAGGTCAGCTGGCTGACTGGAACTCAACCCAGCTCCTCTGGGAGATCGGAGGAGTCCTATGGTTCTGTGGGGTTCACATAAATGGGCGTGGGGTGGGGCCTCCGAAAGGGACATACCTGGGATTCTGCCCGCCCGCAGACTCGCGGGCTGGGCTGTGGGCTCGGGCTGGTCTGCTGGACGGAACCCTAGGACCGACCGCAGAATGTTTCAGCCGGGAGTGGTCTTGCTGCTGCCTCCCCTCCTCCATTCTCTGCTGGGGTAACAGGCGCCTGAAGCCTGGGTCCCCTGAGTTAGCTACCCCCCCTGCCCCTCCCCCCTCCAAGTCAGAATGGATGGACACCAGAACCCAGACTCTGAGCTTCTCTTCCTGGTGGGGCCGGTCTTGAGGCAAGGCTGCAAGGTCCCTGGGGACCCTTGGCCTTAAAACAGGGCTGGGCCAGAGACAACCCTGTTGTCTGCCCTCAAGGCTGCTGGGCCGCCTACCTCTCTCTCCCCCCATGTTCTGGAGTTGCCCACTCAACCCCCAAAAGTCCTTGGGCCTTTTCTTGAGTCAAGGTGCTCCCTTCGACCTTGGCCTGGGAGATCCCGGACTGAGCAGTGGGGTTCAGAAGGGGTGAAGGGCCATCAGGGACTTGGTGAGGGATAGATTTTTGACATGGACCCTTTAAAAACTGACGATCGTCCTTGTGTATGCCCTACTCCAGGGCACTTCCTGGGTAGCCTTCTCTTCCTCAGGGCCCTCTGATGTCCTGAAGTGCCCCCAGCAGGCTCTCCCTGCCCGAGAAGAAGCGCTCCTCTTGCCCCCTCGCCCTGCCTCCCTCCCCTGAGCTGAGGGGTAGGAGAGAGCAGTGGTGAAGTGATTACTCGGACATCCCAGTGGCTGCCCGCCCAGCGCTTCATTCTCTGGGGTGTTTGCATTTTTAACAAGAACACTTGGCCATTTGAAGGAATGCTCACTGTCTCACCGTCTCCCTGGTGCAACTTCAGGACGACAAGCAATGTAAAAACATTCCGTAAACTGTAAAAGTGCCAGGCAGATCAAAGGTAAACTAATTAAGGGGGAAGAAGAAGTGGGCGTGGGAATGACTGAGTGGACTTGGGGAGAGGCAGGAGAGCAGGCCGCTGAGCAGGGGAAGGAGAGGCTTGGCGCCCCCACCCTTCTACCTCCTCATCCCTCTCTCTGCCCTGATCTGCTCCCCCAGGCAGGGGATGGAATTGCAGGGACCTTTTGACCTGTGAAAGGTCAGCTTGTCCATCCTGCAGGGACAAGGGGCTGCTGTGTGGAGACCTGAGAGAGAGGCTGGCCTAGTGCTTGGCCGGCAAGAAGGAGGCAGGGAAGCGGTTGCTGGCCCTGACTGACCCTGCCACTGGGCAGTTATCAGGGGCACACCACCTCAGATTCCCCCCTCTGCTTCTCCTGGCTGGGGTGTTTGTCCAGGGGTCTAGATTCGGGAGGCCAGAAGTAAAAGTATTCTTTGTGAAGAGAGGCTGTCTCAGTGCCTGGATCTGCCTTCCTAGTGGTAGGTGGCCAAGCCCACCATGCCTCCATGTCCCCAGACTATCTGGGTTAAGGGAAGTTGGTCACCGGACCCCTAAGGGTCCAGGGTGTTCAAGAGATGATTCTGGTTGGAGCTGGGAGGGATCCAGGGCTGGGTAGATGCCTGATGGGAGGGGGTGTGACCCACAGTAGCTGTGCCTGCTCTCTGCAGAGGTCCTGGACCAGGACAGCCCCTAACTGACCACAAGGCACTGACAATATTGTAGTGGTTAAGCAGATGTGCTTTAGAGCCATTCTTCCTGGGTTCAAATCCCCGGCCTTCCTTTGGAGAAATTATTTAGCCTTTCTGTGTCTCTGTTTAAAATGGAGTGCCCATTTTCCTTGGATGTTATAGCACTGTTTTGAGAGACAGCATGTACAGGGTTCAAAGGAGAGCTCTGTTACTGTTGCGGGAGCCGAACTGTTACTGTTGCAATTCTGACTCCTGGTGGCTGCCCAGGGGGATTATCTAGGCTGTAATCACTGTGGATACCCATTGCCATCGAGTCAATTCTGACTCACAGCTGCCCTATAAGGCGGTGGAACTGCCCCTATGGGTTTCTGAGACTGTGTCTCTTTACGGGAGTACTGTAGAGACCTTCATTTTTTTCCCCGAGGAGCAGCTGGTGGTTTTGAACTACTGATCTTGGGGTTAGCAGCCCAACACACAACCCACTACCCCACCAGGGCTCCTATGAGTCAGCATTGACTCAGTGGCAATGAGAGAGTGTAATTTTTTTTTAATTTTAAATTTTAATACATCATTTTATTGGGGACTCTTACAGCTCTTACAACAATCCATACATCAATTGTATCAAGCATATTTATACATATGTTGCCATTGTCATTTCCAAAACATTTTCTTTCTACTTGAGCCTTTGGTATCTGCTCCTCATTTTTCCCTGTCCTCCCAGCCTCGTGAACCTTTGATAATTTATAAATTATTTTAACTTTCATATTTTACACTGGCTGCTGTCTCTTTTCACCATTTCTGGGGTACAGTTATACATCATTGTGATTGGTTCTCCCTTTCCCCCCCTTCTCCTTCCACCTTCCCCCTACCCTCATGGTATCGTTATTCCCATTGTTGTTTCAGAGGGGTTTAATCTGATCTGGATGCTGTGTGTTGAGAGCATTATGCTCCAGTCTAGCCAGATTTGTAAGATAGAACTGGGGTCATGATAGTAGGGGTGGGGAGGATGCATTAAAGAAATAGATGAATGCTGTGTGTTTCATCGGTGCTATACTGCACCTTGGCTGGCTCGTCCCTTATTGTCTACAGATGGGCTTTGGGTCTCCACTCCAACCCCCTTGTTAGCATCGGTAGGATTTTTTGTTCTGGGTCTTTGATGCCTGATATCTGACCCCCTTGACACATGATCACACAGGCTGGCATGCTTCTTCCATGTGGGCTTTGTTGCTTCCTAGTTGGATTGCTGCTTGTTTACCTTCAAGCCTTTAAGACCACAGATGCTGTATCTTTTAATAGTCGGACGCCATCAGCTTTCTTCACCACATTTGCTTATGCACCTATTTGTCTTCAATGATCGTGTCGGGAAGGTGAGCATCACAGAATGCCAGGTTATTAGAACAAAGTGTTCTTATGTTGAGGGAGGACTTGAGTAGCGGCCCAACATCTGTCTGCTACCTTAATACTTAACCTATAAATACATGTATATAGACCTATCCCTATCATGATATGTTAATATATTTACATATGTACATGCCTATGTGTACACCTCTATAAATGTCTTTTGCCTTGTAGTTCTTTCTTCTATTCCCTTTTACTTGAGAGTGAGAGTAATCTTTATGGAGAAAGAGAACCAGTCAGTGTTCCCTTGAGTGACTGGCGGTTTTGAGCTGCTAACCTTCTGGTTAATAGCTGGACACATAGCCATTCTTATACGAGGGCTTTTTGGAGCCAAACTACCTGGGCTCAGATCTCATCCTGGATGACTGTCCTTTGGGTGAGATACCATTCTTCTTGGTATTAGTCAACAAATCGTTGGGAGCATCTGGTCGGGAGCAGGAGCAGGGACACTGGAGTGGGTGGGGTCTGGTGTGTCTGACATCAGCGGAGACGAGTCACTGTCTCCGAGTCTTCTGCATGAGTGACCAGCCCTTCCTTGACCGTGCGCCAGCTGCAGTGTCAGGACCGCAGTAGAGGCAAGCTACATTTAATGCTCACAGCCACCCTGTGAGGGAGGTGCTGAGCTCATCCCTGGATGGGGAAATGGGCACAGGGGGGTGGGGCACTGACCCAAGGTTGGTGAGCTGGTGAGGAAATGGGTTGTGAGTGGAGCCGCTGCACTGACTACCGGGCTGTTCTGGGCTGGCCAGCTTCCCAGGGAGCCTGTGCTGGGCATTTGGCTCCATGAGGCGTGCCTGCCCCTTTCAACCTCTCACCACCCTTAGACAAGGCTCCCTCCTCCATCCTGTCTGTCTGGATGGGGCAGGGGTGTCGAATGGGATGGTGTGTGGAGGGTAGGGCCTCACGAAACCACTGGGTCTGCTCTGTGGCAGGTGTGCACAGTGGAGGCTCAGCAGCGCCCCCTCACCCCCACCCCTCAACCTTGCCCTGCACAGGAGGGGGGGAGGGCTGCTCAGTAATGCCACTGGTAAGGGGCAGCTGCTCAAAATAGGGTGGGGGCCATGTGCCCATGGTGGGAAGCAGGCGGCTCTGGAAGTGACCTGCCTCTTCTATTTCAGGCCGGTCCCTCCGAAGCCCATCTGGTGACAGAAAGCAAGCACGAGGTCCTGAGCCAGGTGCTGGGGAGCAAACACCCATTCTGATCAGTGTCCTGGCCAGAGAGCCTGAGTCCCTACTGGCCCCTCACTGGCGGCCAGGGGCATCGGTCCTGAG